GAAAAATTCGAAATTTTTGAAAAAGTATCAGGGGAACATGACAATCGAGGAGCTATTCACTGAAATTTTCACTGAAAGTGAAAAATTCGAAATTTCTGAAAAAGTATTAGGGTACCATGAACATCGAGGAGCTATTCACTGAAATTTTCACTGAAAGTGAAAAATTCGAAATTTTTGAAAAAGTATCAGGGGAACATAAACATCGAGGAGCTATTCATTGAAATTTTCACCGACACCATATTTTCATTGATTAGCCATTTACAAAAAAAAAATTGAAATTATTTTGAATAAAAAAAAAACGAATGTTGGCGGGATCGAACCCCAGCCGTCGGCGTGCCAGCCAAGCACGTTGCCCATTAGACAAAGCGTTCATTTTAAGAATATAATTTCATTAATAGTATATCTTCAATATATTGAATAATTTTTTCCATTTGAATTTCCACAAGAACAAAAAGCATTCATATCGCAGAAAATAAAATTCACCCTGTCGACTGGATGGACAAAAATCCGAATTATAATACTGCATTTACAAAAGGTAGAAAACAGATTTATTCATAATGAAATTACAAATATTTTTGAACTCTCAGTTGTAATACTAAACATATAAAATAGCAAATAGAAGTCAATCATGTGAAAAAGATGATATATACATCTTGAATGTCCGATATTTTTATTGATTTTGCATTGTTTTTGAAGATGAATAATTCTAAAAGAAATGCTGGAAAATTTCTCTCGAGAGTCGTTTATCTCAGGGAAAATCTGAAACTGCATAACTTTTGTAAAATCACCTTATCAAATTTGACTTCTTCACTGATCAACCAAGGGATCAATTGATAACTATAATTAATAATAATTATGATAACAACGATAATATTACAATAATTATAATAATTATATTATGATAATTATGCAGTCGTTAGGAGTGCAGCGATGTAAGGATTTTTTTTCTCCAAAATTTCATTCTTGTACAACTCGACTTGTTTCTTGAGATCATCCTCTGGAAGAGATTCATCGAGAGTTCGGCATTTCTCTACAAACCTGGCAATCAATAGTTCCCCTTCCGCTTTGATTTTTCTCTTCTCTTCAACTGAGTTATATCCCTCAAACTCAACATTCTCGCCATCCTCCAGCTCTGACTGCTTTGCTTTAGCAAATTTGATAATATCCTCTGGAAACTGTACCATCTTAGCAACGTGAATTCCGAAACTTTGGTCGCAAATTCCCGGCTCAACTGAATATAGGAATGTAACACTGTCCTTCTCAACTAGAGCTGTGACGTGATAATTTCTGACCGTTGGGACTTCGTCAGCGAGACGGGTGATTTCGTGGAAATGGGTGGCGAAGAGACAATAGGCTTTTATTTCCTTGGCTATATATTCAGCAATGGACCAGGCGACACCACGGCCGTCATAAGTGGAAGTGCCACGACCGAGTTCATCGATTATTATAAAAGAATTACAGGTTGCAGTCCGAAGAATAGTAGCAGTTTCCACCATTTCCATCATGAAAGTGGAAATCCCTCTAGTCTGTGAGTCGTCAGCACCGACCCTAGCCAGTAAACAATCAATAACTGAAATGCTAGCTTTATCGCAAGGAACAAAACTTCCAATGTGAGCCATAAAAACACAAACACCAATTGACTTCATGTAAGTGCTCTTTCCTCCCATGTTGGGTCCAGTGATAATAAAAAATTGGCTTTCATCTCGTTTGAAGGCGGCATCGTTAGCAATGAAGTGAACATCGGGTTGAGTCTCGAGGCAGGGATGTCTTGCCTGCTCGATATTTATCACTCCAGCATCACTGGCAATCATTTCAGGTCGTACAAAAGTAGTTTGTGCATGAACAGCAGCCACTGCAAACGCTGTTAAAACATCCAGGATGGCAACGACTGATGCAATAGCCTTTATCGGATTACTGTAACCAGCTGCAATAGTCATGATCTCCGTGACTACACTCTGCTGCTGTTTTTCGTACTTCTCACGAGCAATCTTGTAGTCCTCATTGAGTTCACTGAGTTTATCATTTCTAAACTTGACACCTGCTTTGATTGACTCGAATACCTCGTAGGATTTGTTGTTTCTAAGAGTTGGTTCATCCTTGAGAGAAATCCTGAAGTAGAATCCTTGCTGCTGCGTTGACTCCAGTTTTATATTCTTTCCAGCATCCATATTGAGATCATCTGCCACCTTGTTCAGGAGATTCTCTATTTTGTGTTTCAATTTGTCCATTGTTTGCTTCAATTCTTTTAATTCCTCATCAAAACTCGCTCTCACCAAATAATCTCCACTGTCAGTGGCTTCCAGATCAATCGTCTGCTCGACCATCTGCTGAAATTTATCCATATCGTTGATAGATTCTTTCAGTGGCTCAATAATCATGGCGTCCATAGCAGAACAGCCATCGGCCTTGGTTAATGCATTTGTCAGACTAGGCAAGTGCAGCATGCACATATACACTTTATAGCAATCCTGCAGCCCGGCATTTTTCCTCGTCAACTTCTTAGACAACTGCTCAAGATCTGGAATTCGCCTCAGGTGATCCTCACTCAGTGCTGACCTCAGATCACTATCTTTAACAAGTTGCTCAACAATATCGTGCCTCTCCTTAATCAGTGACAAATCCTTGAGTGGTTGTCTCACCCACTGAGCAATTAATCGGTGCCCCTGAGGTGTTCTGCATCTGTCCAGCAGTCCCAGAATACTCGTCGCAACACCACCAACTGCACTTGATGTTCCAGGGGGTGGATCGATATTCAAAGCCTTAATCACTGCCGCATCTAGCTTCAAGTAACGAGAGAGCTCCAACTGTTTCACCGAAAATTGTCCAATGCTCGATGCATCGGACGTTAAGTCCAGATATTTTATGAGAGCAGCTGTTGATGACATGGCGTGCTCCATACTCGTCTCTGGGAGTGCCTGGGCGTTCTCCTGTTGGCCTTTGTTAAATTTCAGAAGAGAGTTCAGATCCTGGATCAACGAGTCTGTGGAGAAATCGCTCTTCTTGCGGGACGTGACGAGCACATCGTTGCGATCCATCAGCCGCTTGAGAGTCTGAAATTCTGTGCTCCCTCCACCCTCGATTAGAAGACACTCTTTAGGGGCATTTGTTACTACCAGTGCCTCGAGGTCTGAGAACGAGTCATCGTCTGGGAATTCACTGAGAAATATTGTTGTTGTCACAGTGTCGATTACAGAGACACCCACGATCTGTAAATAAAAATAAATAATTTTTTTTTTCTCCATTATCGAACCATTGAGAGAAGGATCAAATGGATTTTTTTTTACTTTTGATTTGCCTTCCGTTCCCAATTTTACAGCCATAATTGAAGCTCGAACGGCAATATCCGAATTAGCAAAAAGAATATCCTCGAATTGCGTCAGGTTCCCTGGCGAGCCCTTGTATTCCACTGTCCAATCTTGATTTCTATTGGTTCCATTGTTGATATAAACCTCGACACGATATCGTTTAACAAGCAACAATTCTTTAATGATCGACTCGAATCGGGCTTTGTTGAGAATGACACCGTCGATTTGATTGGGCTCTAAATATATGAATATTGTTAATTTATTAATTTCATACCTTGTCGATATTTATTGAAGGAAAAACTCACCAACTCCGATGGATTTACACGCCGAAGTTGTTTTGAATACTTCATTCGCCACGAATATCGCATCTTCTCCGTGCGCAGAGTAATAATCCACTCGATTAAACAGACGAATTGTGGTACTGGGTTTCTGAGATTAAGAAATTGAAAAATTTTTATTCATTCGCGCAAAAAACAGCAGCGGAAAATTGTATTTCATCATTCGTCAAAAGTAGAATTGAATTTTCGCGGAAAGGCCTCGCCGTTTTTAATCGATACTTTCCGCGCGAATAAATTTTTAAAACAATTCAATTATTCTCATGACAATAACATCAAAACTGGGATTTCCCTTGACCTAATTACAAGAATAACAATTTCATTAAGCGCGTTCTTGACCCTATTAAACCACCCCACGTATTTTCCAATCTCAGTGGTTTTAATAATTGTTTATGGCGCCTTGAGGAAAACCCAAGTAATCACCAAGTGTCTTCTCTCCTCCATTGATAAAAATATCAAATAGTTGAATTATGATCGAAAAAAAAGACACGTGTCAGACTGTTTTCATCTCCCTACATAATATTCTTATCTCAGGGCGACATATCACTGAAAATAATGTTGAGCATTGACTATTGGCAAAATCCCACGAAAATTTACGATATTAAAAAACCTCCGTGCGTATCTCCAGGTCATGGATCAATTTATTATCGAGAATCATTCTCCAATCACGCACGGGGAATTCGAAGAAATTCTCTTATCCGCGCTGAAGTTGTGTTGAGAGAAAGAGAAATCACATTACTGCGAGAATAATCATCGTTAATTGGGCCCCTGAAATTGATGTTCATTCATTTTTCCATTGGGACTGATAACGAGAAGTGCCCAGCCAGAGCAATTCATCATTTCCCATAAATGAGATCAAGTTCATCTACCCGGGTAAAAAAAAAAAATTGTAATCGGAATATTTTTTTAATTTTCAAAAAATTTATGGAAAACTTTTTAGAAATTTTTTTTATGAAACAAAAAAAAGAACGCAAAGAAAATAATTTTTTTTTGGGAGAAGGTTTTGAAAAATTTTTCAAAAATTTGAATAGGAAATTTTTTTTATGATTTAGATGGCATATTTTTTGAGAATATCGGAAAATCAAAGAAGTAAGAAAACAACAGGATAATCAAAAAAAAAATTATATTCGCAAAAATTTCTAAAAAATGATAAAAAAAATTTCCGAAACAAATTTTTGAAAAATCTTTCTAAACATTTCCCAAAAATACAATTGTTTTGAAAAGTTTTGCAGAAGTTCTTTGAAGATTTGGAAAAAAATATTCCGATGAAATTTTTTTTTTACCCGGGTACTCATGTAGCTCATGCAAAAGCGAGATGAATTCAATTATATTCAGACCGAGACAAATAGAATTGCGTCTGGGATGTCTGTGGACATCGTCGGAGAAGAAATGAGATATCAACGGACCAGAGTTCATATTTCACGAAGGTCACTTAATCGAATGTAGGGTATCACCACGTTCATCATTGAGATAGAACTTCCCTAGTTTTTGGTAAAATCCCGTGATGCCGCGTGATATTAGAAAAATCTCAATAGAAAAATTCGATATGCAACTCTAAAAGAATATTCAAGAAATTTAATTACTCGGATAATAAATAAATCAAAAAACCCGCAGCTATAAATCGATGAGATTCAATGAAGATGATGTAGATGATGCTCATTGCCGTCCCAGGATTCCAACACAGGACTGAATTTCAGAATGAATAATCGTTTGTATGATATTGAGAATAGGAATATGCCAATTAACTAAGTGTTCGTCTCAGCATCCTTGAGGTGATACCTGGAAACGCAGACTGAAAGTAAATCTAAGGCAAACTGAGGGAACACGGATGTCTTCATGACATCACATCATTCCAAATATGGATTCACTGTGTAATTCTCGATTGATCGACGTTATAAATATCTTGAGATGTTAGTCTTTTTTATAATTGTTAACGACTCCTCAAAATCACCGTTCAACCAAGCAAACGAGATGACTTCATTCTCCTATTTAAATGAAAACTTTAATACTCGGTTTTACTGACATGCAATCGAATAAGTAATCAAATCTTAAGAACAGATGAATCACTTTTTTGTCGACTTCCTGTTCTAAAAAGACATTGATATTTTTCTGGAGCGAAATTGTGGAAAATGTCAATTTATTTATAATAATAACAATGACAGTTATTAATTTTTGAATTTCCCAATGGTTATCAGCAGGGCTGTCAAAGGGCATTATTTTCCCAAGAATTTTCATCTCTGATAGGACAACAATTGAAGTCACGATTAAAATTGATAATAGTGTATTCGAGAATACCCAATACGTAATAGAATGTGCCCTGAGAGTCATCATAATGTCGCTGGAGAAGGGGTGATGATACATAAATTCAAACGCACATCCTCGGATCAGCTACAAGTGCACTCGATTTTTACCAGTGAACACTGAAACTCTTCGAAATAGTGACAAGTGGAGACCCTTGAGGTAATACCCGAATATTAGTGAGCACAGTATCACTCGATGAGAAATACTTGAGAGACTTTGATTTTCGTAGAAACCGTGGAAGAATGGCCTTGAAATTGGCCGTAATTATTTGTGCCGTGGTGGCACAAGCTCTTGGAGCTCCAAAACCCTGCTACAGCAATTGTGGTACATCAGGTTCAACCTTCAGTCATGAGACCATGACTGGTGTAAGCACCCATGGAAATTTCATGACTCAGCAGAATGCCGCATTTCAGCAGCTACACCAGAGCCTGATGAATCAACTCCAAGAAGCGCACCATTTGGATTACAGCCAGCCAGGAACGTGGCATAAAAATGCTGCTTACAAAACGGAGGATGGTGGACAAGTTTACCAAGAGCATGGTAAAGTTGAGACAGACAATTCGCAGATGCGCTACTTCAAGAAGAATTATACAAACTCATGGGGAACTGGAAGTGGTGGCCTTGGCAATGATCTTCTCCAAGAACGATTGACAGGAGATCGATTGTCAGGTGGTTCGAGCCACCAGGAGCATCATCAAAACTGGGAGATCAACTCGAATGGTCATCACTCCCAGAATATCGAAGATCTCAGTGTACACCAGGTACCAACCACTCAAGTATCACAGACTGTACTCCGAAATTTTGAGGACATGGCGAGAAATCTTGAGTCTTACATCAGCCAGTGCACTGAACGCGTGCAGATGGGACAGCTGAGTAATTATCAATCATACACTGATGTTGTACAGCAGCACTTAGATCAGATGAAGCAAGCAGTTCGAGATAATGGATTGTGGAATAGATTAATTGGCCAGATTAATTCACTTGAGACTAAATTGAATGAATTAAAAGTGCAGGCCCAGCATTCTGCTAATCTCGTGCAGAGCGGGACAAAAAGTCATGGCACAGTAATATCAACTGCTCATCAGTCTGGTCATCAATCTGCTCATCAATCTGCTCATCAATCCGGCCTTCCACAGGCTCCCGTTGGAGCATCGATTAATCGTGATGAGGAATACCAGAGACGTGTAAGTGTTACAAGCAGTCATCCCGCACAAGTTCAGAGCATTCCTAGTAATAACCAGTACGTTTCGGGCACATCAGGCGGATATCAACATTCGTATCAATATGGGTATGTTGTAACCCTCACGCCGAAGGAGTGGAAAATACTGATTATTTTTGTTTCAGGTCACATGGTCAGAGTGGTTACGCAAGTGGTAATCAAGATGTGTCGAGTGGTACCAGTCAACATGCTGATTACACCCAGCATTCTGGTTATGGTCAGCATGGTGGACGATATACACAACACTCAGCAGGAGGATATACTCATGACAATGCTAGGTATGATCAGGGCAGTACGGGATATCACCAGGGTAGTGCTGGATACGGTCAACATGATGCTAGATACAATCAGCATAATGCAGGATATAATCAGTTGGGCTCTGGGTACAATCAGCACAGCGAACAAGTCTATCCTGTTCACACATCTCCAACGAAAACAGTTGAAGAGAACTGGAATTCGTCAGGCAGTCGTAAAGAAACTACTTATGGCACTAGTCATGTTTTAGAACCTATTCGTAGCGTGGGTGGGCGCTGCCGAGGTGCTGATGGACAGTACAGCACCTGGTGTCCGTCGAACAGCGGTCAAGTTGAGAGTATTAATTATGGAGGTCAAGGATCGGGTTGCCATGGCGCAGCTTATGGAACGCTTTGTAAAAGGTATAAGAGGGAGATTAAGGATGATTTGACACAACAGACTGAGGATTTGACACAACAGACTGAGGATTTGACACAACAGACTGAGGATTTGACACAACAGACTGGGGATTTGACACAACAAACTGAGGATTTGACTCAACAAACTCGAGATTTGACGCAACAAAGTGAGGATCTCGGTCAGCACGCTGGTGGTTTACAAGTGGGTAATCAGAATAGGAATCGAGAGGGGTACCGTCGAAATGGTCAGGATGGTATAAATTTTAATCAACAGTCAGGTGGTATTGAATTTGGAGGTCAAGAGAGACAGCGTCAGGATAGAAATAACCATCGGGGACATGGTGTTCATGGGCATGAGCAGCATGGGCACAATGATGGAGATCAGGATTATACACAGCAGACTCAAGGACCTGGGGATTTTTCACAACAATATCCACATGG